GGTTGGAGGCCATCACTACTAGGGCTACTAAGTTGGAGGCCATCACTGCTAGGGCTACTAAGTTGGAGGCCATCACTACTAGGTTGGAGGCCATCACTACTGGGGCTACTAAGTTGGAGGCCATCACTGCTAGGGCTACTAAGTTGGAGGCCATCACTACTAGGGTGGAGGCCATCGCTACTCCCAAATGGCCTAGGGGCGCGGCTCAGAGCGCCGCTCTCAGCGCAGGGCGCAGGGGACACACAAACTAATAGCAAAACTTGGTGAATGGTTGTCATTGTTTCTCTAGGGGATTTCGATTTCTCATGCTGGGACTCCATTCAGTCTGGATGTGAAGGAAGTGTTTGACCCCGCGTTCCTAGAGTTACCTGGTCTCTTTGACCGCCTCATCTACATTCATCCTGAAGGAGTACTAGGATCGCTTCCAATGGCCGCCTATGACAACAAGATCTAAAATGGTATAAGCTCAACGGGTGCACATTAGAAGGGCAAGTCCCCAAACCTACGGGTGTCAGTCTTTTGTTGTGTGGTATTCTCCCTGTTTTAATATACGAACTAATTGCAATGCATGCACACTCAGATTTTCATTCACCCCGTCAAACCTTTCCTCAAACATTGTGCCCATGGGCACGCCCAAGTGGCCCTTGAAGGCTGCTGCATGCAAGGGCGTGGTGCCTGTCTCCCCACCTGCACGGTCCATGTCCGCCCCCAACTGGATCAAAAGCCGCACCACTTCCAAGTGATCATTTTGTGTGGCCAGGTGTAAAGGCGTTGCGCCACTGCTCATCGCCATATCTTTGTCACTCCACTCCTAAGTTTGAGCCGTTTGGGTTGGCCTCCACAGGCCAGGGTTCTGAGTCCATGAAAAGTAAGAGGGGCTTGTTGATCTGCACTTCCATTTTCAGTAGTCCTTCGAGGGTCCTGGGAAAAAGATATGGTCTATCTCTGGACTGGACATTAATTGAAAGAAGCGGAACTCACTAACTTCTGAACTTGGATTGGTCAATCTAATCTGCAATGGACCATAGCCATAGAGCCATTGACCTATCTTCTGTTCAGCAAGGCAGTTCTTGGCCCTCCAAACATAGCAGCTGGCAACTTGCCAGTGAGTTTGATTGGACAAAGCGGCTGGGAGGGCCTGGTCTCCCAGTGTTTCTTTTCTGCCACGTCTCCCGAAGCAAGAGCCTCACCACTTCCAGGTGCCCCTCGTGCGCAGCCGCATGCAGCGGGGTGGCGCCATCCTCGGTCCGGTCAGCGTCCAAAGCAGCCTTCGAGCTGAGGAGCAGCTCAACCACTGGCAATTGACCTTGGACAGTGACTCTAAACAAGTGGAAATAAAATCCTACTCCGTGATCGTGCGTGATCCCGATTTTGCTGGTGCTCGTCCTTGGAGTTGGTTGTTGGTTGGTGATCCAGGCTTTTGATCAGATACTTCGGTTCATGGAGATCGCTTGGAACCATCCTGTTTGAAGGATTTGTATCGCTAACACCCCGCAAAATCGGCGTTTCTCCGGCAAACGGAGGGTCCCACAAGAACCCGTTCGCGTCCCTCGCGTCCTTGCAACGACCTGAACAGTGTTCGGTCGACCGTGGACCGCTTTGAAGTGAAGATGCACAACAACCAACGGATGTTCAATTGCTGCCAGACTTCCGGAAGATTCAACAAGAGGATTGGTGAACATGCGAAAATCATGGAAAACATATTATGCCACCGTGAACGTGAGTTGTTGCCCCGAAGGACAGTGCCTGGCCTGGCCTGCGTTTTTGGCCCCTCCCCCGACGTCCGTTCATCTCCATCCCACTCTTCATCCCATACCGTCTATCTCAATATCTCAACATATCTATTGAATCTATTGGACAGCCATGTTGACCATCCCTGATCATCAGGACGAAGCCATCTACGCCCAGCATTCCTCTGAAGACCTATTTGGATCAAATGGCTTGACTGGGTTGTGTACAGCTTGGAGTGGCTGAAACAAATCTCGAAAAGGATGAAGGTCCATGGTACATTCAAAGACACTAAACCACCACGGCAATACAATCCTCCCAACGTCAATGTGCAGTTTTCCAACCCACCAGGCCACATTCACACGTTCAACTGTAGAGTCCGGTTATGAGGCTTCATCCAAGCCGCTAATGTCTCCTAACCATTGCTATAGGTCACTAGGACTCACTCGGTGGGACTCTCAAATTGGGCTCTGTAAAACTGCCCGACCTTTGTCAACTCGTCCGATTGCTTTAGTATGTTCTCAGCCACGGACCCACATCCCGACCTGTTTTCAGCCAATGGGCCATTCATAGCGGCCAAGTGCAAAGGTGAAGCGCCACCTGCAAAGGGTCAATCAAATCAGGTATTTCTCGGCGTTTCTCTGATATACTGTGCATGTGAGTGCACGCAAATGCATGAGTGTGTCACACCTTCAAGAAACGCATGGACGGTTTGTATACAAGAAAAAACGATATAGACATGTTATATGTTTGTGCTCCATCCCATACTTCCAAACAGTAAGCTGCCCCCTGTGACCAAAACAAATGGCGAGTGGAGCTAGAGTTTCTATCATCGAGGCAGTAATTATATAAAGTAGCTGCTTGAACATCTGAACAGCAGGCTTCTCACAAAAGCAAGCTAAAGCCCAACCTCTGGTGGTCAAGCCTACATCTGCTCTGGCTTCCAGCAGCAAGCACACACTCTGCACCATGCCTTCTTGTGATGCAGCATGTAAAGCTGTATAGCCACCTTGCTCTTCAGTCGCATTGGGATTTTGGGGCCACTGCAGCATGCGTTCCACTTCCTCAATGTGATTCTCGGCACAGGCCTTGATGAAGGCGGTATCTTGCTGAGTTTCAGCAGGCAAACACTCCAGAATCACCAGCTGCAAATCCACCGGCGGACTCAGAACGACATCATCCGATAGCAGCTCACCCGTCTGGTTCAAGAGCCTCCAACTCGGGACAATTGAACCAACCCTCCAAGCCCCCCAAACCCTCCCAATGCAAGAAGAACATCAACACATCAAAATACCAAGCTAATACCTATGACATATATAATTCTTGACCATGATATGCCGACCCATAGGCAAAAACAAAAGCATCCAACTAGATGCAAGCTGCCACTTCTCCCACCCCTTCTACAACTCCTCAAACCCACTCCCCCCCAAAATCCCGGCCTTTGTCTGAACCGAGGATATCCTCCACCCATCGCCATCGTTTGCTTCAACTTCCTCACCGTGAGCCACGGCTCCTGCGCACCCACGAGCGCTTCGAAGTCCCAGGCGCCCACCGTGGCGCCGGAGGTCGCGGAGCGCAGCGTGACGTTGTGTCCGGCCATGGCGGGTCGAAGAGGTGCGGAGCGGCAGAGCTGGCGAGGGAGCTGGCAGAGTGGCTGGTTTTAACACCTCTTTTTGTGGTGTGCAGTGGTGGAAGTAGTGCCTCTGTGAACAATCATACATGAGCATATATAAACTGATTGTTGTGGGGGAAGGCCTGATGGAGTAACTTGTGGGCGAGGGACCCATCGGGCTGCATATCCTTTCAGGCTCAGCGTTCCGTTGTTCTTCATGTTCCGTGACAAGCAAAACGCCTGCAACATCCACGTGTGAAACCTCAAGCAAACATGTCAATATGAGTCAACAACCTCCCTACAGTGGTGAGCAAAGTTCAATCAAAACTAACAAAAGCAGTAGAATTACTGGAGTTAATCAATTGAACCCATCATTCAGCCTCATTCCTCCGCAAAAACAGCCTCAAATTAACCCATGGCTGCCTGCCGACTCCTCGAAGTTCCTGGCAAGATCGATGGTGTCTCGGTATAGGTTCCCCATAGAAGGAGGTGAACGCCCAGGGTAGGATGGGGCGTGTCAAGAACCAAATGCCAAGCCAAAGAACCACACGGTTTAAAAGCCTGAAGGTTTAAGAAAGCACATCAAAACAGCACATCAACAAAAATATACTGTAAGGCCAATATTTAAGAAAGCTAATTTAAGTATAATCCATGATATGTATATTAATATATATTATATATACTGTATATATATTATGGGTTAGACTACGTCGGCGCTTGTTGTGGTCATACACATTGACTTGGTGGGGACACTTGTTGTATTGCCTTGTCTTTCCTCATATTGCTATTCCGGCAATGCAATAAGTTGCTTCAGTTGTATAAATGAAATATAAAAGACACCCTTCTACGTCACCAGAATGCTGGTATGCTTCTTAGCCTCTCAGGCAAGCGGAAGGACTCCCTCCCTCCTAAATATCCTTGCACACATTCCTACACCTGATCTGCCTAGAATCAATCTTCCAATATCTCATTGACTCAGAACCCAGTTCCATCTTAACTCTGAATCGTTTTCCGTCACCCAGCCTGGCACGCGCCCATCGAGCCAATGCGCGGAGAATGGCAGGCTCACGGCATCTCACGTGGTCACGCCTAGTGGTGGAGGGGCTGCAGCTAACTGGGTAGCTACGCGTGGAAATGTTGGACCTGGTTACTTAGATTACCAAGAAAACTGGAAAGACTATATAGGTATCGGGTATCTGTTGCCCAACATCATGAAAACATCAGGATACTTACCATGTTCCATCTGGACCAGCTTTGACGATTCATGAGCGGACCATGAGGACAAAACTTGGCTTGTCCAAAGCTTTCAATGGCCGTTGATCCATCCAAGGACTTAAAAAAGGCAGTGAATGTCTCAAAGAATTGGGAGGACCCGCAAGGATGCTTTAACACAGCAGGATGAACCTACAGAAAGCCCTCTGCATCCTACAGCTTGGATTCCTAAAACATCAGTGCAAGCTGGACACTTGAGCAAGTTCAAGTCTCCATCTACCATAAACCTTCAAAAGACTGAAGTCGTTGGGAACGCCTCTAGGTGCCTGTACTTCGCATGTTGGCCGACTTCTACTCTGCCTTTCTGTACCACCGGCTAAGAACACGGACAAACCAAATCACCAGGTCAGAACTCCCTGTATATCTGACACACTGCCGCTCTGTTGCCCGGGCCTCAGGAAGTCTGCCACAGTGTTGGAGGAGAGCCTACAAGTTACAAGAGGTGACACAGAGCAAGATCATCAACAACGCCAAGGAAAAAGTGGAACAGGAACTGAATCAACAAAGGCACGTGGTTTTACATCTGCCGAGAGCGGAAGTATCCCTGGATCTGCTTCTGACACGCCTGCTCTCCTCACACCAAAAACTAAACACTGGCAGGTCAACAACTACGAGAATCATCCTGATTCAAAAACGCTACTAGGAACAAGGGCATCGCTACCAGTAGCAAAGAGCAGCGAGCATCGCTACTAGGAGCAAGGACGCTACTAGTAGCTCGTGGCCTTACTACTGGGAACAAAAGGCTACTAGGAGCAATCTAGCGCCTCAACCAGGCCGAGGAGGCAAACAGCTCTCTGGGGTGTGCCTGGCAGTTCTGCGTGCTACGTGAGGAGCATCTGCGGGTGAAAAAAGTTGCTAGCGCGAATTCAAAGAACCAGTACATAGCCTGTATATGCCTGTATATAATATACGGCCAATTGTACATCCAGAATTGAGGATGAAAAGGAACAACAAATAACTATATAGTCGTCATGTCGGATGGAAGGACAAGCTTGGCACCATGGCTGACCAATGTTGTTGGTGTATTGCGCAGTCTCTATGACGAACCTTAGAACCAAACCAGTAGTTTCTCATGGAGCACAAGTGCTATCATTGTGAACCGCCTCCAAGAAGAGATATTCCTTCAAATGCGTCGCTTGTTGACTTTAGGATTCTTTCGACCAACCTCTGCTGCATATTGCTGCAATTGAATTGAACTTCACCATGATTTGAAGAATAGAACACTGGACGCAAGCTAGGCCGCTAGGCAACCAGTCAACAGCATCTGTTGAGCTGCTTGGGTATTCAACGGGGTGGTTAGGTGTCAGTTCTATTTTGTGATTTCGTTCGCTTCTTTGATAATAGGCAATGCCTGGCCACTCTTCACTCGTGTTGTGACAATGAAGCCTCCAGGTATGCCCAAGCGCGCTCCATCAAGTCTTCCTCAAAGCCTCATAATCCAGAAACAAGCACATTGACACATATGGACAAATATATACAAATAAAACACAAATAATACATTGCATCAAGTGTACACACACATATCACCTGCAGTATCCTGGTTTTTAGACGTTTTTAGTTAGTTGGGACCTCGGAAATTCATCATTCCTACCACTGGCAACTCCGAGTCTCTATCCAAGGAGCCGAGGCTGTCCACCAGCATGGCCATGCGTGGCGCAGTGGGAGTGGCACCAAAGATGAGCTGAGAGGTGTAGCTCTTCAACTCGTCTGCCTCCTCTCAGATCGCAAGCGATTCGCTTGGCAAGACCGGACGTACATGGATGTGTATCAGAATAGAGAGCCCCTGCAGGCGGCTGTTAATTTGTCTTTCCCCTTTCCGAATTCCCAGCATTGGACTTTTTGGGTCCCCGGTATTTCAATGCACACCCAAATATGTCAGTCAAACGCATCAAAACTCAAAAGCCATGAGGCCCCAACATCACTGGCCAGGGGTCCCCGACATAGTATTGCGCGATCTTCCGGAGCTCCACTGCCGTCTCGAAGCTCTCCACAGTGACCTGAGCGAGGGCGACAGACACGAAATCGCCCACGAGACACGGATGGATTCTGGAGACACCAGCGCAGCGGAATAAAGGAGAGGGAGTGCTGCACCTGACTGTTGTTGAATCAATCCATCCTGGATGGTCAAACGCTTACATCATGTCACCACCCAGGTATGTGTTCTTTTCTTGCTCGCCAAGTACCTGAGAAACTGCCTGGTCCACTCATACACTGGTTTCTGGATACGATCTATTGAACAAAAATAAGGCAGTGCGGAGCCTGTGATACCAAGGACACGATTTGCTCTCCCTATCGGGGTCCAGCCGTCCTCGGTTCCGCGCCGGCAAGCCGTACCAGAAGCGCACCACCAACGGCCAGATCTTGGCAAAGTCTGGATGCAGCTTCACCTGGCCAAGCACAAGAAGGCCTTCACCTGGGTTATGGGTACTCCAGCTTCACACCTGGGTACTTCAGCTTCTTGGGTCAAGTATTGATCTGCATCTCTTTTGACTGAGCATGGAACTGACCCAGCAGAAAAATCAAGTCGTTTCTCAGGAGCAACAACATCCCAAGACGTTTGCCCTAAACTCAAACCAGCTCAATTTGAACACCAATGGATTCAACATGATTCAACCCAGGAACTTGACGTCAATCCGGCAATCTTCATGGAACCCAACGAAGCCGTAGAGTCCTCGGTGACGCATTCGAAGACGAGCATTCCTGCCTGATGTGTTTTCGCTTCCTGCATAGGAGAGCATAGCATTGCTCGCAGCCTCGGGTTCCAATGCTGTGCAAACCAAACCACGATGTTTCCGGATTCCACAAGGGCGTGACTAAGCTTTTTGAGTCAGATCCTGCCAAAATACTACAGGTGTTGAACTCTTGCGCGCAGTCTCATAATCCAAGCTCTGTAGTGGCACTTCGATCCAGGCATGTCTGAACCGATCGAAGCTAAGCTTCCAGCACTGGACTTTGCAGGTGCAAGATGCAAAGGTGAGCAGTTTCCACCTGAGATCCAAACGAAACTGGGAACATCTGGAAACCCCAAATTGATGAAAAGAGGTGGAGCCACCCTCCATCTGCTCACAATTGTCACAAGGTGAACAAACATGCAAACAACATTTAAGTGACTATCGGCAACGATCTGCAAGGGTCCAATTTCGGGTATACTGGCACCTACAATGACGCAAGCAGTCTCGGCAGCAATCCTCTGCGTTCTGCTGTAAAAAGAGGTTTATTTGTTCTGACAACATTATCTAAACATGAATGAGTACCATCCAATAATGCTCTTTTGATCTCTTTTGTGTACATTCTATACATAGACTATATAATTGATATGTAATTACTACATATACGTGTAAATATATACATGAATATACACAAACGATTAACATATGTATAATTAGATCAGGTCTTTCGTGTTTTCGCGTCGTCTCACATCTGAGGTCGGCAGGTCTCACATCGTTCCGCCTCGCCTCGTTGCCATCCTCTGCATGCCTCGTTGACCGTCTTCGGTCGAGGCCGTGGGGGTCGTGGACCCGTTCTTTGCGGATGACCCACGACGTCCGACCCTCATCCCGATTGATTCACTTTAAAAGGGTCAGCACGTGTCAGCTTCTCTGTTCAAATCCCTTGAATCATGTTGAGTCCATCCAAAACCATGAATCATTGCAACCTGACCTGCACAAAACTTGCTGGTCAAACAGTGGTCGAAGTGTCCACGATTCACCCTGGAGCTCGAAGAGCTCGAAGCCGCTGCCGTGCGCCACTCTTTTGCAAGTCGAAGCAATATTTCCCGTCAGACCAAAGGGCCTGGTTGGCGCCCTCGAAGGGCAACTGTTCCTGTGAAGGACCACGTGTGGGATACTTCTTTAAAGCACTGGACAAGGTGGAAATGGATCAACTTTAAGACTGCTGTCTGAAAGCTCTAACTGACTACTGATACTAGACAAGGTTTTAACATGTTTTAACAATCTTCTACAGTGAGGCCGAGCACCAGAGGCTGTCAAAGGCCGTGGAAAGTGTTCATTGTCATTTCTGATCTTAGGAGCGAAGAGACGTACGGACCTTCGTTTGTTCTTCAAATTCTTCAGACCAGTTGATGTTAGTTGATATTGGGTGTGTAGTAGGTTGAATTTCTTCAATCTGAGCTGTGCACACATCATTGATCCCATCCCCAGTTGTGCACCTTACGAATGGATGGATGCTTGGACTGTAGGAAGTCCAGGAATTCCGGAAGGCTGGTCACCTAGCAGTCCCATCTGCAACTAACCAAAGATGTGGCAAGTTCTATGGCGTGAGATAAACAAAGATTGGAGATGGCAAAGAGTCTTCTTTGGCTCTTCTTCCATTGAATAGACTCACTTATAGTTCAGATTCAACAACTTATCTAGGATGGAAAACACACTGTGTTTCTTTCCGCAAAAAAACAAACACATCCTCCAATCCGAAAACAGCGCGAAAACAACCATCAACAACAAAAACACGATGAACTCATCCAACTCACAGGCCTGTCTCCCATCAGCGAGCCGGCGATGTGGGAAGAGTCGAGCGAAAACACCTGAGGACGACCACGAAATAGGGCTGGTGCGAGGTGGAATAGCCTTCAGCATCTTCAGCCTTGTCAGCAATCAGAGGTAAACGACACGTAAATGGTTTGAAGGGCTGCAATCCATCTGATTTTCCAGCATCAATCTTGATTATGATTCTTGATGCAGAAAGACTCCAGGGCATCGTGTGGAACACAAAACATTTAGAATCACGAGGCCCTCTCATTCAATGATTCGACAAAACCAAGCCAGTCTGATTACCTTACTATATTAATTATCTCTTGTCAATGGCAGCCCGCTGGTCCGACATCCAATGGGCAAACATGTAGTGGATAATATGTGGGAAGGCCATTGATTTACTTTCCTGCCGCCCATGTCAATCGTTGCGCAAAACATCAGAATTCAATAGGTTCAAGCCACAAACCTTAGCCTTAGCACTCACCTCCCACAATTCATCTTTTTCGGAACAAGGCACTTCAAATCGGACGAGTTAGGAGAAAACTATGACCATGACTATTTCACACAAGGAACTCTTGGCCACATGACACGGCTGCCCACAAAACGTTTGAACAAATAACTTTGTGCCAGTGGCCAAGCCCCGATGAACAAAACATATCAAAATCTACTATCACCTGATTATTCACATGATGAACTAACCGCAGCCTCCGAGACCGAGGCACAACAGGGCACCACCAGAAAAGGTCGTTGCAGTCGTAGCGCGGCCTCCACCACTGCCTCAGTGGCCTCATCCGGATGCAACGCCACGAAGCCCGAGCAGTTGCGCCTCAGTTGGCCAGGCACGGCACGGCCGTGTCTGTTTTTTCCTGTAGTGTTTTAGATGTTGACTGTGAGCCCGGACCATCCTCGTGATTTTTGTTTGGAACTTACAGCACTTCCAAAAAGATTGTCATTCTAATCAAAATAATTACTGCAATTACATCATGAGAATGGTCCTGAACCTTTGACTTGTTTGCCTTCAAAACGACCTCGGACGTATTTCATGTGCGTGGTCATCTTACCGCCAAAACCTATTGTACTGTTTACATGGTTTGCCCTGAATCACAGGTGTGTGTGTGTGTCCACCTCTGTAACTAAGAGTTTCTATTTTTTCTCAACTTTCAAGTCGCAGGGGGATCAGGCTTCCAGTGACTAACCTGATCCAACGAAGCTGGGTCACTGGAAGGGAAGTGGTTGAGGACGCTCAACCATGTACCTGCTGAGTTTGTCACATGCTGTCACCCTACTTTTCCACGTTTTGATTCATGGTTCTTCATGCTACCACCCCCGAAACCTTGGTTTTTCTGCAGCTGCACAGCGCCGCTCGCTTCGCCACCGCTGAGTACTGCAGTCACGAGAAAACCATTTTGTTAAAACACCTTCAAGTGCTTGGACCTTTCACCTTGCCGTTCCCTCATTCATTTCTGCTGGAATTTGATCGAGCTTGCATCGACTTTGCAAACCATGTTCAACCATACCGGTTTCGCCGACTCATGCACCTTTCTGTTCCCTCACCTTTTTCCACTTGGGAATAGATTAACTGAAAACCAATGTCAGAGTGTGAATGCACAGGGTCCACAAACTTGTAGCTGGGCCATGCTGGGCCCCTGGGAGCAAGGTCTCAAGATTGGGACTTTCTATGACTTTCTCCACCTTGCAAATACACAAAAACTGAGGGGCGTCCCCCAAGCTTGCACACTTGTTTAACCTATCTTCGCAGTCAAAAGGGTCCATTCATTCCCAAAGTAGCGCTGTGCTTCAAGGGTCGTCCTCAAACGGATCCAAGTCCCCAAGGGACAGCAAACATCATCACCACTTTACTAGTAGCTTCTTGCTCCTACTAGGTTCTTACTAGTAGCAATGCCCTTGTTACTAGTAACGATGCCCTTACCTCCACATGTCCGACGCATCGAGCGACACGAGCTCGGACTCCTCGCCGATGCTCGGCAGCACATCCTCGGCCCCGCCGAAGGAGTCGTCCGCGCCCACCGGGCGGCCGCCGAACCAGGCACGCTGCGCACGGATCCTTGGAAGGCGTGGCCGAAGGCTGTTCGGAGGAGCGTCCTTGCTCCTAGTCGCGATGCCAGGAGCCCCTAATAGCGTCCTTGCTCCCATAATTGAAATCATGATGGATTTGAAGTCCTGAAGCTTTTTTTTGGAAGCACGCCAAACGTGCCATACGATGCCAATCTTTGTCGATAAATACAGTGTTTCTTTTTCCGAGCGTCAAGGCATTAAATCCAGTCTTCCTGGCCAATTTCCTCTCGAAACATGGCAACTGCCGTTTGCTGGTTCTCTAGTCTAGACCTCTAGACCACACAGGGGCTCATGCCTCAAAGAAAGCATAAGAAAACTCTGTGTGTCAACTAGCTACTCCATACAAAGATTGGAGTTGATTTCAAACTCAACATAGGCTCTATTTCACTCCATATATACTATGTCTGGTTTTCTCTTGTCTCTTGCAATATCCACCACTTCTCCTGGCCCTGCTAGGCAAGCACCCAGCCGCCTTCCGCGGGTCCACCACGGTGCAGCGCACGCCGCGACGTGCCAAGGCCAAGGCCAGTAGCCCAGTGCCACCAGCGACATCCAACACATGAGAAGATGGAGAGAGGAGACTAGGAACAGCCTAGCGGCACTGGGCTGAAGAAGGGCTGATGAGGGCTGCGTGGCACTAAAGCTGTCGCAAACAAACTTTCATCCAAGATCTTGAATCAGCTACTATACGACTCCCCAGGTTTCACAAGCTGTTCAGCGCTGAAGGCTAAATGGAGGGTGTGTGGAGAAAGGGGGTCAGCAAAAAATGGCATATTATACGAAGTTAGTGCATCAAACATACCTTCCACAAAGTTATGCGAAGGTTTGTGGGCTTTTGTTGCGTCAGTTTTCCTACTGGCCACCATTCCACGAAACGTCCAGGAATAGCCCCCCGGTCTCCGCAAATGTCCTGGACCTTCCACGATGTTGGTAGAATACGTTTTTGCAAAACTCTTTCTGTGCACTACCCTTCCGTTTGCCTCTGAAGCGCACTTTCGTCCTTCACCCTGGCAAAAGGGTTCTTGTGGGGAACTATGTCAGAACATCCACAACAACATGTCACCGCTTTCCACAAACATCACCAGACATCCTTGAGAAAGAACTCTGCCACCGCTTCAGCACGCTCGCTGACCGCATCACTGCCAGAAGGTCCATGCGCATCGACCGGGAGGGATCGGATGGCTCGCAGTGCGGCAGGCCGCTGCGCAGGCTCCTGACCTAAAAACAGAAGAACCCAGCACTTTGACAGGAGATGACCAGCTTCAGTTTTAAGCAGTCACGCCATTTGTTATGATCCTCACATGCAATTCCGTGCCATTCTTTCCAAGATGCTTTGAGGAGCAAAGAGTGTCTGCCTGACCTGCAGTTTGGAGGAATCAGGAATCTGGACTCTTGACAGCACTGTCCTGTGAAATGATCTCAATATATCTCAATCTGGCCATAGATTGGGGACATGCTAGTTCTGGGTAAAGAGTACGCAGGTGGTAAAGTCAAGAAAGCCCAGCAACCGTACTTTGTCAGCCATTAAGGCCTTGACATATTGTAAGATTTGTTTCCTCTGGAGAAGGGCTGACAAGCTGGAGAGTGCAGTTTACAACAAATAAGATAAGCAAACTCGTTGCCAAACGGAGTTGATCAAACAAGTATTATTCTTGGACATCGGAGCGAATTGGTTCCGTCTCCAGATCCAACGTGGGCTCGTAAAAGTTCTTTAAGGACATGCGGCATTCATGAGCTACGCATAGTATTCATCTGTATCAGAGTACGTCAGCATAGTCTTATGTTGAAAGGTTATCAGTTAGCGGCTCATACATCTCATACTAGGATGATATCCGTTCTGAATCTGATTTAGGGCGGACCCCAAGTCACAAACACAGGACACGCAAACACACTCTTGTTGCTTCAGTGCTAAGTTACTATGGGACGGGCAATCCTGGATTCAGCACTATAAAATGATGACCTGCTGGTTTGCTTCGGTGGAGTAGAAGGCCTAAATTCCTGGAGCTATCCTGTCCTGTCGAACAAGTACATTTAGCCAACATAAACCTAGCGGAGCATGCACATCCAGATTGAAATCAAGTACGCTAGCTCTCTCGCTTCAAGTCAATGACCATCAAACTCCATCTTTGCGGCTTACTTTTCTCAATCAAAAGGTAATTTAACTTAAATTAAGTAATGACATAATGTAATATAATTACAGTACACAGTACACAGTCAAACGAAACTGCTCTATCAAATGAGGATAACTAAAAAATACATCAATATTTCAAGAGACGGTCTAGCTGCTAGCCAAGTGACCTGAATGCAATGGGTGACCCCCCACTTGCGCATGCACTGGACCACAACTCTCTTGGCATCCATGTGGACACCCCGGTGACCAGTCCTCCGACAAAAGCAGAAAGAACCAAGACCCCTTGACTGTCAGTTGCTCCATCAAGCTTTGCATGCACAGTATCAGGAAGTTCAACACCCCTTTAGACCAACAAAGGTCAGACTAGAGTTCAGATTACTCCATCTTGGACCCTATTAGCGAAGTGCGTGACCTTCGCTTCCCACGCTTGAGCGGTGAAGCGCTTACATTGATGGTTGATCGACAGGACACATCCCGCCCTTGGTGAGTCGGTCTACATATTACCGTCTCTTTCCAAAGCAATCAGGTCGCTAGGTCTTTAGGTCTTTAGGTCGGTTGTGCTTTGTTGCTTTGTGTCGAGCTCGGATGCTTTTTGAAGGCCGTTTCAGATTGTTTCAAAGGTGTGTCAGGTGGTTTTGTCCCTCTAGGCATACTTCGAAACCAACAACTGCCTTCAACGCATCTCAACCATGTGCTTCCGTTTGATCCATGATCACTCACATCTGCAGGGTATCACTCACAGTGGCATCCATCCTCATAGATCCACTGTGATCCACTGTGCTCATCGCTTCATCTGAGGCTCGACCACCATCCAACCACCTCGATCGCATCGCCTAACTTCACGGTCCGCCAAAGCTCCCGCGGCGCGGCCTGCGCGCTGGGGCGGCAGGCCATGTTGGCCCGCTTACGTTCCATGGGAGTGAATTGAATGCTATTTACTATGTGTTTAACTATTACTATTAACTACTTATACTATTACAATTACTTATAAATATTTAACCAATTACTATTAACTTATAGTTAAAATATGTGCCACTGCGTAAAGGAGTGCCAGTATATACAGCTACTTGCGCACTGAAAATCACTCTTGAAAGCTGTTAATTACAGTTAGGTCCAAATTACATCATAGTACGTAGTATAGTAACGTATAGTAACCTAAGCGTCATTTGGATCTCCTTCGTCAGCGACATTGTAGTTGGCAGGAAAAATACCTTCATGCAGTAGCTTGTGGCAAGCATCATGCGCCTCTTTAGTTCTCTTTGGACATCTTTGGACTACAGCGTATGTGCTTTGTTCTTCTTCCCCATGGCCCATGTCCTTGTAGCAGACTTCATGCCCAACGATCGGAGGCCCCTTCTCTTCCACAATGGAGAGCCAGGTGACATCCGGGTAGTTTCGCCGATGGATGACGATTCCACAAAGCACATCCTCGTGGCATCGGTCAAGGGTCGATCCCTAGTAGATCCAAGCTTGCTGAGCTTCCTGAGCTTCCTGGTTGTCAAGCAGGAATGGCCCAGGTGGATAGTGCCTTCAAGTCCGCCATGGATGCAAGTCTCAACATGCAGGGGGGGTGATTGTCACCGTTCCAGAATTCTCTGACCTGACATGACCTGACCAACCCCGACCCCCGCATAGTCAGTGTCCTGATGCTGTATCACGCTCAGGGGCCAGTGCAATTCGTCACAGCTTGCCATGCCACAGGGGTGAACTCACAGCCTCTCGATTAGTCGGGCATGGCAACTGCATCCATCCATGGACTTTGAAACGGAAACCCATCAGGCCCATCAGGAGGGCTGGGACATTCAACTACAATCAGCTACCATCACCATGATCTCGTGTTCATGTCCAGTGATAATAGCATGACGTGTGCGATGTGGAGTCTGGTCGAACGTTCATGCATCCGAAGCATCAAAACACCATTAAGAAGCACCATTTCAGACTCTCCCTTGTTCTGCAGTGATTCAGTGATCTATGATGGCATGCATTTGAGCTTTTTTGTTACAGAATCATTCGATTGACGGTTTGTAGTAGAGTAGGTCTATCTTGCTTAAGGAACCTGGCCATGAATAGCTGTTGATGTTGGAGCGCTTTCGAACCTTAAAGCTGCTGGGTACGCCACTCTACTGCCACTCTGAAAACTGGCACAGGAAACTAAGCTTGCCAAGGTTGAAATGCAATTTGGTTTGAGCCTGACTAGTATAGGCTCGATCTTTTGGGCCTTGGACCTATGAACCAAAATTGCGATTGCATCAAAATATAATGAAAATACAATGCGCATTGAACATGGCACTGGGTCTGGTTCCCATTAAACATCAATCTGAATATAATTACACGTTCTACTGACCGTGTTACAGACCGTCGCAGTGATTAGGGCTGCGAAGTATTCCCAACTCAGCTTGGATTCTATACTAGTAACAAGGGCATCGCTACTAGGAGCAAGAAGCTACTAGTAGCTCCTGGCCATACTACTAGGAACAAGAAGCTACTAGTTCCAAGGGCATCGCTACTAGTAGCAAGAAGAGCCTTCTCCAATTCATACCGTCTGAGCTCCCCTGGCAGAAATGACACCTCCCCCTCCACACGCTTCTCGTAGAGGTCCCTCAGCAAACCAGGGACCTTGGTGGTGCCATACTGCGATCAACACCCTCCATGACAAGTACTCACGCTCCTCTCGATGTCCTCGTCTTGACGCGCGTCTAAGGCGGTCGGGGCCGGAGGCATTTTTGGTTTGATTGATTGATGGTGCAGTTTCTACAGCACCCTTGGACTAGTCCCAGCAAATTTTTGACATGCAAGTTATATAATATACAATAAAATACAACACAGCCATAAACATGATTACGCAATATTCTATCCATAGCGGCGTGAAGGTAGGAAACCCAATTACTAGCACTCCTTTTCTGGCGGCAGCATGTGAACCCCTTTCTGATCTGCACTGATCTATACCGATCTACAAGCTATGATAGCACGGTGCCGACAGATTCGTTCGGGTCCCCATTGGTTCCAGCCGAGCACCCGACATCTGAGGCCAAAGAGCAAACCCGAAAACCTCGAGGCCAAGCTTGTTTCAACACAAGCTAGGACATCTTGAAGCGAGAGTAGCACAGGTGTTTGTCTACCTAGGGTCTGCCAAGGTTTACCATAGTCTAGCACTTTGTGCTGACAAATCTCAGCCCAAACGGAAGCTTGAACTTCTGTTTTTGGCTGGGTCAGGTCCAAAGACACAAGTTTGAGGTTTCTTGTTTCATTGCTATGGATTCTCTGCTTGTGGGCCCTCAGCTGTAGTGGCCATAAAGTCTGCACCACAGACTTTGAAGAAGCAAATCCGAGACACTTGAGATGACCCAGGTGATTGCCCTGCATCAAGCAACAATCGTATGGACTTCGGCATGCACGCGCCTGTTTCACTCTCAGTCCCCTCATCCCCGGCATCCGCGCCATCGCTGCTGCAACCTGCAGAAATGGTACAAAAGAGCACGTCCTGAGATCATTAGATCAATTATGAACAAATACGTTAGACATCGTTAGACATAGAATGCAACCTGCTTCAGCCTTGCTTGTCATTGATTCACTCAAGAATGTCGTTTGTTCTTGGCTAGACTTAGACTTCAGTTTTAGAAACTTGCTGTGGCGTCTCTTGAAGCAGCTGTTAGCAATCACAGCTTGTCGTAAGGGATCAGCCCATCGAGTTTGCTTGCCTGCAATGGTTTTGATTCGCTCATGCCTTAAGCATCTCCTGATTGCCTACACGTCTCCACTCTCAGCCAGGCCTGGAGCACCAGCCATAAACGCCCAACAGGACGTAAACAAGGCAGAGAAACAAGGCAGTAATTGGTCGATATGCGTCCTGCATAGACAGGATGCTTCCTATCGAATCTTGAGAAGGCGAAGAATACCATCAACCCATGGGACGTTTGTTGGCTTGCGTATTGGCAGGTGTGCCCCATGGGATGTTCGGAGGATACGCCGCGTGGGACGTTGATGTGCCACGTTGGTGAGGATGGCTACCTCCTGTCTGTCTGTCTCTTTTTCACTTAACATGCAGTGAAGAGACATGTGTTCTCAATGTTTGGTCACCCTTGGTAGCACTTTGCTACAGTCGAAGTACAACTCATTATGTGTGGTGATACCTCTACTGCAAAACAAACACAAAGCAAAGACTGGCAGCTGCTAGGATTAAGAATGCCACTCACAATGAGATTATTTCCAACTGCTTTCATCTGCTCTGCCATGCTGTGCAAGAACCCTTCCTGGAGCCCACATGCTGTGCTCTGCATGTTCTGCATGGGTTCTCTGCTGGAGCTCCCACATGGCCGCACTATACCTGGTTGAGATACTATTAAAAAGGTCAGCAAGAGGTCTGGACTTTGGAACTCTTTGAGTCCTCATCATCTCTGTAAGTCACAGGTCGCCATGGCTCTGAAAACCTCTTTACTTTAAAACCATTTGTCAAAAGCAATGGTCGGTTTCAAAGGTCTTCAGATGTATCTCAAACAGCCTTAGACATTCGTCGTGAGATCCACCCAAAGGACCCAGCGTCCCACGAGTGGTGCAACCCTGAATGCAGTGATGATCATCACGCGATGAACAATGAAGTTGATGTGGCATTTAAAAATCAAACCCTAGTTCTTAAAGGTTCCACGACATAGTCCATGGTTCCTCTCACCAGTAGATGACTAGATGGTAACCATGGCATGGAGTCACCGCGAGGTAAACACGTCTTCCCCGTTCCCCTTCCACTCTTCCGGCTAAAGCACCGCACCGGGCCAGAAGAGGCGCCTCTTCACACCAATCCATGTTGTAAGCCTGAACAGGATGGACCAGTAGTGCAAAAAATAAAGAAAAGGGCCTGCATGGCAAAGTGGAGTGTTTCCCGCAAGCAAAGTACTTCCGTGTCTCAAAGTGGTTGCATCATTCTCTCCTGCTCCTCAAAGAGTCAATTCAAGGAGCCCTCATGTGCCTTGGTATGTCTTAAAATGACTTAAACCCCACAACCCTACACATCTCAAAAACAGTCCTAGTGTCCCTTCATGCCTTCATGGTCATGCAATCTGCGCTCTCGGTCTCTCTATCTTTATGGATATCAAATGTGATAGTTTATTGCAAAACAAACACCGCTGTAACGGACAATCGAATAATAGCCTAGGGGCAACAATGCTCAACCTAGAAAAACACCTGAATGCAACTGTAGCTTGGATAACTCAATTATGTGGCCAACATGATCATATATATATATAACAGTTATAAGCACACTCAATCTGGAATTTTGGATCCAATCTGGTGTTCTTTGCCGTACATTCAGCAGCGGCCTTGGCGCGATTAATGACAAAGGGGTAGTCGAAGAAGTCCCCGTTGAAGCTGACCTTGTCGGATGGATGGCTTTGTTAATCTTGAACTATTCATCACATTCAGGAATACCCACGCCAAGTATCACGGGATACACCAAGGCTCAGGATTTACATGTCCATCAACTTGCGACATGTTGGAAGAGAGGGCACATGCTTTTCCACAAAAGATGCTTGTTCACTGGCTTAGGGCATCTTAGGGCTATAGGGATGGGATCCACAATGATGTTTGGGCTGATTGTGTGTGTGTGTCTGGCCTGTGAATCAGCATTATCAACATTTACAATCATCATCATCATCATCATCATCATCATCATCGTCGGTCTGTGAGTCTCTGTGATACACTCCATTCTCTCCTAGTAGACACCAGGTAGGCAACAAGACACTCAGCCCTTCTGAGTCTGCGGGCCATCACATGCGGGCAGGTCTCCCGCATGAGCTGGAAGAAGCGCTTCAGTAGAGCAGCCTACGGAGCGCCCGACAGGTGGATTTGTTGCCTTTGAGGATAGGAACGACATGAGGGAAGCACCGCAGGAAGCACTATGCACGACCCGAGCGCTAACCTAGGGCGAAGGAGTCGCTGGCAACCCATGGACACCCGCAGTGCTGTGTGTGCGTGTGCAGCGCCAGCTGGAGTCGAACGTCAAAATCTGGAACACATAAAAGCTTCACTGTATAATCCGGCCAAACAATACGTATGATAGTGCATGGCTGCCATGGATCTTCACATTTGGAAGTGCTGGGTGGTCAGATTTCACAGAGCAAAAGCGCAGCCAATGTATAACCACAGAATTTTGCATTCAAGACCGGGATCTCAAGCTCCACCTTTGAATGCATCAAACAGCCTCATCTTCCTCATTGTAGGTCTGGAATATGCCTTCGTACCTGCGACGAGGGGGCCAAGGCCAACAAACCCAGGTTCCACTGGAAAAGGTCTCCACAAATGGGGCTGGTTCCACGAAACAAGTCCCATGGGAACACTCAGGAATTTCGATGCCTTTGATCAGGATTCATTGACAAACTGGCCTTTATGCTAGCGATCACCTAACGAAACGACCGTCGATCGTCGATCTCAAATCTCCGGGTTGGTGACCGACCGTCGATCGCTTGGCCGGTCTCAAAACGAGACGGACCAGTTCTCAAGGTCACTATGCAGTACTGGTTTCCCTCAAATCAACATGGTTCTGTTCAATCTATCTTCCTCTTCACAGGACATGGGGATGGCGAAATGGGGAGCTCGCAACAGAATCAAACACTTGCAAAAACATCTGTTTTCCACAGAGGCACTCAGGTTTCGGAGTGTATTCCAGCGGCTCGATATCTGCAGAGACCTGCGCGCTTGCGAGGCTCCATTGACATTGAAAAGAACCCAAACAAGTTGCCAAACAAGTGTGAAGAGTCGGTTCAATGATCAACCGTTTCAAGTGTAAACACTTTGCGATCTCTTTGCCTCTTTTGCATTCTCTTTGCACCCAATGCTCATTTAATGGATTTAGGGCATCTCCTTTCGATGCAATCCCAGTAGGGTCCCCCATCCGTCCATTGGCTGCCAAAAAGGGCCCATCCGTCTATAGCAAGCCATGGACGGTATCTAAGGCCCAGTCTTCTGCGCGATTGACAATCAAGAAGCCTGAGCCATCCTGAGGTGATCAAACCATGCCGTGCATCAATGGCGGGGGACTCTGGTGGAAGCAAAATCGATATGTGATGAATGAAACAAATGCAAAACGATCTTATTACAGTATTAATCCGTATTCAATGAAAACAATGCCCCCTTTGGATTGATTTGAATCTCGAATGTTAACCTGTCCAAGAACAATTCCGGCATAGCTCCACCGGTCAACCATTGAATCTATAAGCGTTAAAAGACTAAAACGATGACATCGAATTCGGATGCATTCAGTCACGATCTCATAGAATTGCAAACAAATTGTGGCTCATGGATGCTCATGTGACATTCTTCCCCAACCCTGTTTCACTCATGGACTATTAACATCAGAAAACTTGATCCACAGCAACTGACCCCGTTGTTTGTTGAGTTTCAACCCTCCTAAGCTGTAAACCTCCATGGCGATCTGAAATCTGCCTTCATCGACCCAAAGTCTCGGCTTTTGCATAGCCTGATCATAACTTTCACAAGGGTCTTCCGTCAGGCCTTAAACTCTGGAATTCCTGCCGATTATCAGTAAGGCCTTAATCTTCTCCTTCTTCTACAACGGGTCTCAGGCCCCGCGCCACCATGATGGAGATCATCGTGATGCGATCCCGTGCGGAGTCCGGGAACTTCAAGGGCTCCTGTGCGAGCTAAAGCGCAAAGCAAAAGACACGAACTGTGCAACCGGCAAAACTAGGGATCGTTTGGTGGGAAGTTTTAAGGCAGGTATCGGTTTTGGGATTGGTATCGTTTTTTCAATCCATATGCAATTTTTTGGGGGAGGTATCGTCTAAATGTAAATTGCTCTGGATGGTCTTGCAAATGATGACTAGTAGTAGTCGTCGTCATCGTACTAGTACTAGTACTGACCTAGTAGTAAGTAGTAAGTAGTAGGTTGTAGGTAGTAGGGAGTAAGTAGTAGTAGTAGCAGCAGCAGCAGCAGTAGCAGTAGCAGTAACCGTAGCAGGAGTAGTAGTAGTAGTAGTAGTAGTAGTAGTAGTAGTTGTAGTGGTAGTAGTAGTAGTAGTAGCTGTAGTAGTAGTAGTCGTAGTGGTAGTGGTAGTGGTAGTGTTAGTGGTAGTCGTAGTAGTAGTAGTAGTAGTAGTAGTGGTGGTAGTGGTAGTGGTAGTGGTAGTGCTAGTGCTAGTGGTAGTGGTGGTGGTAGTGGTGGTGGTGGTAGTCGTAGTAGTAGTCGTAGTAGTCGTAGTAGTAGTAGTAGTAGTAGTGGTAGTGGTAGTGCTAGTGCTAGTGCTAGTGCTAGTGGTGGTGGTAGTGGTGGTAGTGGTGGTAGTGGTGGTGGTAGTGGTGGTAGTGGTGGTAGTGGTGGTAGTGGTGGTAGT